GAAAAGTAAAAGAAACGTAAAAACGAAAAAGTAAAAAAGTAAAAACGTAAAACGTAACGTAACGTAACGTAACGAACGAGTACGACGAAGTATAGTAGTAGTATACTCTCTCTCTCTCTCTCTCTCTCTCTCTCTCTCTCTCTCTCTCTCTCTAACACATCGACAAGACATTGTGCCCTCTCTCTCGAACACATCAACCAGACATTTTGCTCTCTCTCTCTCATCAAGAAGACATTTACTCTCTCTCATCAGGAAGCCATTTTACTCTCTCTCACAAAACATCAAGAAGATATCTCTCTCTCTAACATATCAAGAAGTTTTACTCTCTCTCATCAAGAAGCCATTTTACTCTCCCTCACACAAACACATCAAGAAGACATCTTCACTCTCTCTCTCACATCAAGAAGATGTTTTACGCTCTCTCTCTAAAACACATCAAGAAGACATTTTACTCTCTCTCACATCAAGAAGATATTTTACTCTCTTTCTCTAAAACACATCAAGAAGATATTTTCACTCTGAATACAAAAGAGTTCAATGGACAGGACACCAGAAAAGGTTTACATTTCAAACCTTCTTCTTCTTTTTATTCCCAGTAGTCATCTCTCTGAACCTTGCAGCTCGCTCACTTGAGGAAGAGAGAGAAACACCCAATAAACCTCCTCCTGTCTCATATCAAAAGCTCTCTCTCTCTCTGCGGATCAAGAAACATCTCTCTCTCTCTACGCTCTTCAAATGTTCTCTCTCTCTACATATCACATGAACTTTCTCTCTCTACATATCACATGAACTTTCTCTCTCTACGTTCTTCAAATTGCATGGGAAGAAGATTTACATCAAATTCGTAACAGAGGTTGCAGAGGATAAAAGAAATGGATTTTCTAACCCTCCTTAGTGGATTGAAAATATAAAAGGACGGATTTGCCCCTAGATTTTCACTTAATGACACAAAACCATGGACTTTTCAAGTTTTATCATTTACCATCATAGCCTTTGTCATGGCAAGTTTATAAATAATTAGGTGTGGCAATGGACCCGGACTCGCCCCGGGACCCGAGGGAAAAACCCGATCCGGGTCTGGAAATAGGTCTAAATATTGGACCCGGTAGGTCAGGTCTGGATTCAAAATTTAGAGTCAAATACTATTCGGGTTCAGATCGAGTCAAATACGGGTCCATGTCAAGTAAAAGTTTTTGGGTCTCAATTTATGAAATATATTTAAATATAGGTAAATAAATAGATATTTTAATTTTTGGATTGAGTTCGATCGAGTCTGGTTAGGTTCAGTTGGGTTTGGATCCGGTTTTACCCGACATGTTGCCACTCCTAGTTTATATAATGTTGCAATCTTAAGAGGTAGAATTTAGGTGCACCAAAAAAACATTGAAAAATGTTGTTTTAATGTTAGAAAAACCTCTAACTATTTATCCAAAAAAAGAAAAACCTCTAATTGATCATCTCAACATCGAAATGTATAAATATGAAAACAAAAAAGATTTTTGAGTCCTAAAAATAATACATTTTGCAATAAATTATATATACTGTCTATTTTTTAGATTTTCATATGCTCACATATCTACTTGATTTGAGGAATTTTGGAGTTTAAACTTTTATATTTAGATATAAAATTGAATTCTTATACTATCCTAATAATTTTTTGCATCTAAATTACATCTTATGATAAATTTTGGATGTGTGTCTTACTTTAATTGTTTAAGGTTACAACCTCGTGCGAACCACACCTTGGATGTATTTTCCACTTTTTTGGGTGGGGTTTTAGTAAGGCCGAGGCTAAATCTAGATTTCATAAGGTTAGTGAATTACCATGTTTGGCAAATCCACATGTACAACCTTACTAGAAAGTGAAGTTTTCTATACAATATTTGCTCCTTATTGACGTAGATTAGCAAAAGGCACCCAACGTTTATTTTTGTTGAAAAATGAGGTTGAGGTTCTAGACGATATTTGCTCTTTTTAAATATAAACCAGCAGAGGCTCTCAATGTGAGTGTCCTAGCTGAAAAATGAGTAATATATGTTAATGTTTTTATTGGAAAAATGAGATTAAGGTTTTAGACAATACTTGCCCCTTACTAATATAACTCAGTAAAGGTAGCTATTATGAGTGTCCTTGCCGAAAAATGAGACATATATTTCAAATGATATATAATTTGGAAATAGCACTTAGTATTTTTTCATAACAAAATACAACAACGAAAACTTTTGTTATGGCATACAAGTCTATTTTTCACCTCCCAATTGTTAGACTTGAAACTTGAACAATGCGTAAATCTCGTGCACTTATGCTTGCTCAAATAGATCATCCAAAAATTACATTGCAAGATGGACCATTTTTAAGACTTGATATCACCTTAAGATGATCAATGTCTGAGGTTTTCAGCCTTCGAGCTGCATTTTGCAATGATATTTGAGATTGCACTTTATAAAGTTGCAATTCTACAAAATAGTTCCCTTTAGAACGACAGTTGAATCAGTGATGTGTCTTGTCCAATTATATTGATTCGACCACCAGTCGAACCACTAGAATCATATTTAAAAAAAATAAATGAAAAACAAGTGCGCATCATTTTTTGGCCAATCTAACTGTTCAAAACCAATTGGTCTGACCAGCAAAAACTATTCAAACATTTATTTTCATGAGTTTTCGACCAAATTCAATTTTTCTTTGAACCAAACCAGCCTAGGCCCTAATTAGCAATCCGGTCCGATCTTGATAACTATGTATAGCATAGTTTTGTGAAAAATATAAATAAGGCACCATTAGAAATCAATTTTGGCTAATCTCCTGGGTAGTGCATGTGAGTGGTTTGCAACAATTTTCAATACATTTTTTAAATTATAGAATTGGAAGAGTTTGTTTGGCTAACCTACTTAGAAGTAAGTGTTTGTCAAACCAACCAAACAACCACATATAGTGAGGGCCACAACTGCATTTTAAGGCAATAATTTTGGTGCTACTTTTAAACAAAAACCGTAAAAAACACTTTCATGTTCATTACACAAGTAGGTGATTGTCAAGGGTCCTCAAATATAAATAAGGGTGAGGTTTATATAAGGTGTCAACTTTATACTATTAAAGTAAGGGTGCATTTGGTATACGGATGCATCCGTAGATGTAGACGTAAGGTGCACCTTCAAATTTTATCATGGTATATAATTTTGATGTAAATTATTATTAGGATTATCTCAAAATCTATTTTTATATCTAATTATGAATTTTAAAATTCAAAAATGGCTAAAATCAAGTATATCTATAAACATATGAAAATCTTGAAAATGGACGGTGTAGATAATATGTTGTAAAATGCACTATTTTTTAGACTTCAAATCTTTTTATTTTTCATGGTCATACATCTTGATGTCGAGATGATCAATCAAAGGATTTTTCAACATTCAAACTACCTTTTCCAATAGATTTTTGAAGTGCATCCATAGCTATAGAGGTATGGTTGCAACCTTATATAAACTTATTCCTTAAAAGTAAAGCGCATTTTCAAGACGACACTAAATATACATTTTTTATACCGAAAAGGTTTCTAATGCCACCAAAATCAATTGTCACCTTTTAATTGTGAAATTTAAAGCTCTAAACATGATGCAAATCAAGCAAATCCATATACTATTAAAATCTTTTGAAAATGAATGGTCTAGACAATGCATTACACGATGCATTACAATATGCACTATTTTCATAACTTGGATTTTGATCTATATCTCAAGATTGAGATAATAAACTTGAGCATTTTCTAATATTAAAACAACCTTCTTATGGGGTTTTTGAGGAGCGCATTACTTCAATAGTATAAAATTAACACCTTGTATGAACTTTTTTTTCCTATAAATAAATAAAAAAGGCATCTAAGATGAAGCTTCGAATAAGAATTCTAAGATCCAAAAAATAAAAAATAAAAATAAAAAAATAAAATAACCCCAAAATATTTGACATAGGCTTTGGCTCCTTGCTTCCTTTTGTCATCAAGACTCTGCCGTAATATAGGATGGGGCTTCGACTAAGGCCTTAAAAACATTAATGAAAATGGTAAGGGTATATTAGGTAAAGATATCGAAAGTTTATATGATTCGGCCGAAACATTCGTCTTTCCTGCACACGAGGCTCTTGTATAGTGCCACGTGGCAGGAAGAGGTTAACCGTGTGGGGAATTTTTCGTTGGAGAACACGTACGTCGTCTCGATCCCCTCGTTTGCTTCGCTTCCTTTTTACTCTCTTTTCTGATAGGCCTGCAGCCCTATCAAATTATTAAGTCCTCGCTTCATGACTTATCCAAAATTTCAAATCCAAAAATATTTACATCCATCTTCTCTATTTTTAAGGAAAAAGTTTGTGGATGCAGTTGGCATACGGATGCTATCTTATGATGTAGAATTACAAATCCCCTCAAAAATCCATTGATAAATGTAGTTTTAATGTTGACAAACCTTTTGATTAATCAGAAATAATGCATTTTACAACATATTATCTGCACCATCTATTTTCAAAATTTTCATATATTTATAGGTCTACTTGATTTTAATTATTTTTAAAATTTAAAATTTTATAATTGGATATAAAAATAGATTTTGAGATAATCCTAAAAATATTTTACATTAAAATTATATACCATGATAAAACTTGAAGGTGCACCTTACCTCTATACTTATGGATGCATCCGTATGCCAACTGCACCCTAAAAAGATTGTCTAAAAGTTTAGCTTTTTTTTTCTTGGGTAATTCAATAAGAAAGATGTGTCCATACTCTTTTTTTTTTTTAGTAGATTAGTAGTTAACTTTTTTTTTAAGGTGTTAATAGTGTGGTGTTAGTGGTATTAAAAGTTCACCTCCTAATTTATGTTTCGACAAATCGTTGAGTCAACTTGAAAGTGATGCCAACTTGGAAGTGATGCGGAATTGGTCAAAGTTTGAAGCAATAGTTTTCTACAAATTTTATTGGTCCTATTTTTTCAATAGAGGAATCATTAGAGAATCGATAAGTAAGCTTGGGCAATTTCGAGTCGGCTCAAAACTAGTGGGTGGCTGATTATAACTCACTAGTCGCTTCTTAGAAAACTATTTGAGAATGTCACCCATCCCTATCAAATTTAAGTTTTATTATTTTCAATTGAAAAAAGCCGTCTTGAACCGTTTTGAGTATGCTCAAAACCAATGTTATCAAGTCCCGCCACTGAACTAATAAGCGGTCTAATCAAAATTGGTCTGACTCTCAATGAAATCAATTAGACCAGATTTTAAAAACATAAAAGAAACATTGACCGGATTTAAAAATACTAACAATAATAATTTAAGAATATGCAATGTATTAAAAAAAAGTTGTCCACTTGGTTTGGATGATTTAAGGGGTCAAAACTAACCAGTCGAACTGGCCAAAATTATTCAAATACTAATTTTTATTGGGTTTGATCAAACTTAGTTTTTACTCTAGACAAGACTGAACAATAATTTGACCACTCAAACTGCTAATCCGTTACTCGGGTCCGGTCTTGATAACTATGCTTGAAACCAGTAGGTAACTGGGTTGACCAAGTGGCCCTATTTCAACATAAGGATCTTATTTCTAGACCCACCTTTTATTGTCTTCTCTCTCTTTGTTCTCTCTCTAAAACCAAAGGGTGCTATTTCCAGCCTCCTTTCTATTTCTTCACCTCTATGTATAATGTCGGACTGCTATTTGAAACTTAAACTTTTTGCTATTGTTTCTCTATTTAGAGATCCTTGCTATTATATCTCTCTCTATTTAGAGCGTTTATTGATATTTTCTCCCATGAGATGGCATTTAGGTGAAGAATCTTAGTTATGGTAGACAAG